CTCCGATGGTCCCACGTCAGCCCTGGTTCCAGCCTTTTGTTAGAAGCACAGGAGCCAGCGTGGCTTGGGTTGCCCTGGGCTCATACAGCTTTGCATGCGGGAGTACTCAGCAGGTGAGGCTCTCTCTCCCTGGAAGCAATGGAAAGTAGACTTTGCCCCAGTTAGACTGTTTGCCATTTTCATCATCTGGGGCAGATTCCGTAATCTCTCTGACCCTGTACTGTGAAAAGATCACAGTAGGTCTAGTTAGCATCCATCATCTTACATAGCAAATTTTTTTGTGTGTGTGATGAGAACTTCTAACATCCATTCTCATCACAGTCTTCAAATATGGAATATGGAATATTAAATATAGTCACTCTGCTGTGTATTACATCCCTGTGACTTACTTGTTTTGTAACTGGAAGTTTGCACCTTTTGACCACCTTCCCCCACTACACACATACCCTGCCTCTGGCAGCCGCCAGTCTGTTGTATCTATGAGTTCGTTCTTTCTTCCTTCCTTCTTTCCTTCTTTCTTTCCTTCCTTCCTTCCTTCCTTCCTTCCTTCCTTCCTTCCTTCCTTCCTTCCTTCCTTTCTTTCTCTCTCTCTCTCTCTCTCTGTCTGTCTCTCTCTCTCTCTTTTTTTCTCTCTCTCTTTCTCTCTCTCTTTCTCTCTCTCTCTCTCTTTCGTGCATAAGCAAGATTTTTTGATAGTTGCCTTTCTCTGACTTACTTCATTCGGCATGACATCCTCAGGGTTTATCTGTGTTGTTGCAAGTGGCAGTTTCCTTCCTTTTTATAGCTGAGTACCTCTTTTATCTTTACGTGACATCGGGACTACTTGTGCACCTAACCTGATAGCCGGATACCTGCCCCTGCACGGTAGATCTCTCCCTGCAATGGTAACACCTGCCCAGCTACACTGAAGTTTTGTCCTCCCCTCTCCCTTTCCTGGGGAGTTGGTGGTGGGTTTGCACTTCTCTTGCCATGATATTGCCCTGGAATGTTACCTGGTACCTGTTCTGCAGTCTTTGGGTTACCCTTGTTACTTGCCAAAGTACCTCGTGATTCACAGGTGTGGCATGGATGGAATGAAGAGACTTTGGCGTGGCAGAGACCCTCACTGCACGTTGATGGAGAGATTTGGCTAACTCACAGCCCCCAGGTCTGTGCAGGTCTTCACAATATGAATGACGAAAATAACATTCTCCTACACTTTGTATTAATGCTGGGTGGGGGGAGTGTTATTTGAAATCTCAGCTGACATTTTTAAAGTACCAGTGTGCACTGCATTGTTGTGGTAATTTAGCACTTTGCCAACATAGGAAACAGAATGATCTTTGATCTCAGGAAAATAGAAGTTCCTGCAAGTACAGTTTTACCAGTCCTTATGAGAGACATAATTCTGTGGTTCAATGTGAGGTATTTATGGAGGGGTTTTGTTTATAAAACTAAAGACCGGTATTTTGGAATCATGTGTCTATGGATCATTGAAATCACAGAAGGGGATTTCATTTGAGATTCCAGTCGGTCTCTGGTTTAGCACATAGTTCTGCCACTGTGGTTATCAATGTGATGTCCGATCTCCCGTGCTGCAAAGCTGTGAAAGACACAAGGCTGGGACAGAATGTCAAAGTAGGTTTGAACTGATGTTTATTTTGTACCATTTTTTGAGGTACTTTGATTATGCATATGCCCTGTATCAAATTGGTTAATCATTGTGGGGATATGTGAACTAGAGAAATATACTTTTACAGTTAACCTAAGCAATTATAAATTAAATGTGATGCGCATATGTATCTCTCTTGAGCGTCCAGTGTAAGAGATGAAGTTTTTGTATCATCCAAGTACACGAAACTCTTGTGAAAATAGTAAATGAGCCACCCAGGGTATATGAATATTTTCAAAACACTAGGTAGCAGATGAGATTACCATAGATTTTTCTGGATGTAGAAATCAGGATGGGATTGACTTGCTAAATTAATTATGAGATATTTCTAAGATAGGATGTATAATGTCATAAAGCCAAGAAAATATGTTGAAAGTTTAAAGAAAGAAAAAAAGGAAATAGCTTGGAAACCATGGTTTTATTTGACCTTTTATTGATATTTTCCCAAATGTTGATTCTCCTCAGTGACCAGAAGTTGCACATTCAGAGCACTCACTAAATCAACTCCCTCTTGAGAGGAGCTCTGATCTGAGATTCCAGAGCTCCTGAGAGTGAGAAACAGAGCGGGGCTGGGGTTGGGGTGGGACCGAGAAAGTATGGGGGAGCTGACCTTGGACAGTGTAACCTCCTTGTGTCTTAGATGCTTCATCTTCAGATAATAAGCCTTGACCTCTGGTGTTACTCTAAGGAATAAATGAGTATCTCAGTACAAGGCCTCATCCTCATCCTTAATAAATATGCAAATATCATGTGTTATTTTATGTTGTTACCAAGATAATACTAAAGTGGTCATCTTTTTATGCTACAACGTGGTTTGTTGCATAGCGTTAGATATCTGAAACTGTTGGCCGAGTGTAGTTCTAATTTCTTAGGTTTGTTGATCCTTACGTATAAAAAACAAGAGCAGTTCACTGATTCTCTGGTGTTTCAGCACAGGTTTTGAGGTTGTGATAATACAGTTGTGTTTTCTCCAAAGAGCTGGATGACCCACAGTCAGGAGGAGGAGAAGAAAAGACTTGCATTTTGGGGGTAGGAGGGCAGATAGATGGTAGCAGTTGTCTTGGGAAAGTTACTTCCCCATTTTGTGTTTTTATGAGATGATCCCTGAGCATCAGTCTCCATTTCCTGCACATTCCATTCAAAATATTTTGAGATGTTAGGATCACTGAAGGTTGTGCTTGTACTGGTTGGACTAGGAAAGCTGCCGTCAGCTGGACTTCTGTGTTGCAAATGTTATTTTGCAAACAGGAAGGTTCAGATACCATTCTCATTCAGCGCACATGTAATTGGTCAACAGCCAGCTAATAAATCTGATGGTAACTTTTGCTTTAATTAATAAAATGTACTCAGACGGAACAAGTAATTTAAGTGTATATGCGTATGTGTGTCCCTGTATATATGCATGTATACACACATGTGTATAAATTACGTAGGGTTTTATAATATTAAAATGTATGAAGAGTACCATGTTACTAAAATTGATGACTGTGTAATTTTATTTACCTCTTGGGAATCAATTGAGCTATTGATTCCACAGCAAATGTGTTTTGATTAAGATCATGGCAAGATAGGTTTGACAGCAATTTCAAATTATTCTAGTTTATTGCATATTTAAAGTCTACAGTCAGCTGAGATGGTATGTATCTGATTTTAGCTTAGAGAGATAAGTCTATTAATATTTTGTTTCAGATACTCTATCCTCTGTACTGTACAATCACCATGTGCCTTATAAAAACCATACCCTTTCTGGGATGGGCTGGAATATGGTAGGATGCTCAGTGCCTATGATTATTCTAAGTAGGGTTAGAATCATGAATGTAGAGATTAATATGCTTTATAAATATTTACAGTCTTGCTTTTGGGCATATATATAGATTGAATCTGCACTAGTTGAGCTTAATAGTTAATGATTGATTTTTCAACTGTGAACATGGTTATTTATGGTGTTTATTATGATCGTGGCAGTGGATGATCCCGGAAAATCACAGAAAGAGAATTATGTCCAGGGAAAACTTAATTTCTTAAAAAACTTTCGATAGGTTTTATTTTTCCACTTTTCTGTGAAACTCAAATGTACATCATGTCTTTAACACGTGTAGAATTATTCAAGCATAACAATTAAAAAATCATGAAAATACAGTGATATTTAAATGGGCTAAATGGAACATGGGCCCAGTCAGGTTTTCATGATTTATCAGTTTTTAACTTCAAAGACTCTGGTTAGCTTGCATTTTTTAAACTAATGAGTTTATCACAGCCTGTGAGGAGCATGGTTAAAGTATATCAGCTGTAAATTGGTACAAAGCACTAAAAGGGACATTAGCCTCTAATCAGATTCCAACAGTTCATTAAACCTGTCTTTCCAGAATCACTCTTTGTCTTTTCCCTGGCTTTGCAAGGCGTATCTTCTTCCCTTTTCGTCTGGGCAGGACCTCCTCCCGGGTAGGAAGCAATATCAACTCATTCTTCATTGTCCACCAAGCAAACAGCCTAGGGGATGCTTTGTTAGGGTAGGTTTCTGGCTGCTGTGAAGGGCAGGGGCACTGAGGGCTGCGGGAAGGCTTCCTTGAAGCCCGGATGGTTGCAAGCCAATCTGGCTGTTTCCATCCACGGAAGCAAGTGGCACATTAGGATTTGAGATCCATGCCTGATGTGTAAACAGCTCACCAGCCTCCGTGAAAGGATTTCAGGCTTGGAACAAATTAACTGAGCTTGCCGGGGATACCATGGCTCTGAGCTATTAGGATGCAGAATGCCTACAGAATATGGACAAGTCAAAAGCACAGATTTAAAATAAATGTATCCTGCCAGTTTTAATAATATTGCACATTTCTAAGAAAAGAACATGACAGCAGTTTTTCTTCTTTTCATTACCTGATAGGCTAGGTAGCATGGAATTTTTAAATGCTCATTAGTTAGCTCTAGAGTAAATTTGCTTTTTCTTCCTGTTGATGTCTCAGAGCAAATATTTGTGATAAGAGGCCCTATACATTTTATTTCTTCTTTTTCTTAAACAAAAAGGAGTGGCAAGAAATAGAGGTAATTAGAGCTTTACTATACTGCACTCTGTCGGTGTTATTTGGTAATAAAACCATTTATGATTTGTTGAAGTGGGAGTTGTTTTTATTTAACTGTCTATTTGATGGAAAAGCAGCTCTGTGAAAGGCAGAAGCCTGCAGGTTTAGAAATGCTATTAACCTTTGTCATCATGTAGGCAAAATATTTAGAAACAGATCTCTTTTTTCATGAGACCGTGTTAGTGTCATGTGCATACATTCTGTGATTGAGCAAAGAAATCATTCTAAAAACTCAAATCTAGTTATTTTTGTTTTCTTAGTTTGGGCAGGATATGAAGGTAAAATTGACATTCTAAACATGTTTTAAAACATGATTTTGGCCTGAAGCAAGCACTGGTAAGTGTCTTTCTGACTCTTTTCATAGATAATTGACTTTAGAAAATCCCCAAAGCAAGGAAAATTAGTAGAAAATAACCTTGATTTAATGTTTTCATAAATATTGTTTGCAAATCTATTGAGTCAAGATAGAAATAGGCTCTCCTTTAAAGAAGTGGTAGATTCAGCCAAACATACACCCAAACATAAAACAAATTGTTATCTATTTTTGGGTTACGACTTCAGGTTAAAAATTCATTCTCAATCCAAAATTTATATTAGTTGTTTTTGAAATAGATCTTTAGAGTGGTTATATTAGAAATTTTCATTTGATCTGAATTGCCATACCAAAATTTAGTCTCCAGAATTATATTACCTTGTTTTAAAAAATATGTAGATTTTGATAATAATATGAGAACATAGTTATTATTTTTTAATCTGTTTTCTCCTTCATGGATTTCTGCACAATATAACCTCCAGAACTAAGGAAGAAGGAAGCTTGCCTTCTGTTTCCTCCACTACTGCAGAAGTGTGATGAATTGCTCCAGCCCTATATATATTAACTTTAAGGTTTCTTTACTCCAGTTTATTATAGTCTGACCTCCAACCCAGAGGTCAGCGAATCAGACTGATTAATTCAACTTCTTGGTCATTATTTGAAATGATAGTTCCGAATGGGGTGATAATTGGTTATACTGCTATTCTCATTTAATTATACTTCATTGTTAAAAAATTGGGTTAGCCGTACTAAATGTACTACAGTGAAGGAAGACTCTAACCAATGTCCTGTTTTGAGTGCTTTATACCTGACTCTCCCCCTCTTTCTCTCTCTCTTTTTTTCTTTTCAGAATATCAACACCTTTGAGAACAGAATGTTAATGCTTGATGGGATGCCGTCAGTCAGAGTCAAAACAGAGCTTTTGGAATCTGAACAAGGGGTAAGTTTCCAACGATGCCCCACCCTCTTCTCTTTATGATAGTGGCAGTCATTTCCAGAACATATGGAAGTTTGCAGAACACTATTGAAGTTTGCAGAACGCTTCTGATTTGCACTTGCCTGTGCTTTTCTCTCTTGAGTAAAAATCACCAGGGACTGATTCTCATCCATTTGCAACCTCAAATATTACTAACCTGGAGAAGATAACTTCCTAAAATTAGGAAAGTACAGCAATCTTATAAGAACCATATGGCTGGGGCGCCTGGGTGGCTCAGTTGGTTGAGCGTCCGACTTCGGCTCAGGTCATGATCTCACACTCTGTGAGTTCGAGCCCTGCATCAGGCTTTGTACTGACAGCTCGGAGCCTGGAGCCTGCTTCAGATTCTGTGTCTCCCTCTCTCTCTGCCCCTCTGCTGTTCATGTTCTGTCTGTCTCTCAAAAATAAATGCATGGTAAAATAAAATAAATAAAATAAAATAAAATAAATAAATGAACCATATGGATTTATTTAAATTAGTGACTGTTTCGAAAAGCTATTAAAAACCCAAAGCAAAGAAGGAAGTATTAAAAAATAAGATGGGACCATCAACTCCATGTCAAAATGGCTTGTTTCTTTCTTAGTGAGGAAATTACAGAATAGAGGTATGGGACTGTGACTGTCGGATTGATTTGTCTTTTGACACTTGTATTTACCCTTTTAAACTTGATGAGTACTAGAGAGTTGAGGAAATACAGGTCAGTGAGTTTGAAATGCACATAAAAGCAAAAGAAGGTTTAGTTAAGGATTGATACATCGTGAAATTGACAAATTAATTTAAGGCTAGTGAAAACATGAAGACTTAAGAGCACATCTTTAAAAGGACATAGGTGATTTTATCCTTGTTAACATTTGTAGCTTCACAAGTTAAAATTATAAGGGCAGTATGACTGCTAACAGCAGCGGCTGACCATGTTTTGTATTTAAGTGAGAAAGCATTGCTCCTGTGCCTCGGTCCACACTGCCTACCTGTGTTATTAACCCATTACCACTGAGGCAGTGTAAACAACCATGAAAAGTACATAAATTAGATATTTGATCCTATTAATATATCTCCTATTCAGAAAAAGCAAAACATTGGCAATATTTTGTAATTGAACAATCAGAACAAATATCAAATGTGCATAAAATTTTACTTTTAAGTATCTTTGTGCATGAGTCATGTGGGACCCCATTCGAGGGGTTAGGATACTCTTCAATATTAAAAGGACTTCGTAATGAAGAACTGAGGGATCCAGTTGGTATGGATGTAGAGGGTTTCTCCAGTAACCTCCACATTCCTGAGCAATGTGGGGCTGGGTGTACTGTTTCTCAATGTATATTTCTCTTCCTCACTCTAAGCCTGTGTCTGGAACAGACCCCCATCATGGGAGGGGATATCATTTCACCTTTATGTTCAGTGTTCATTGTAGTAGCTCTGCAATGAACTTGGTGGAGTATGTCAACCCATAATGCACCTTCCCAGTTCTGCGCATGACGTGATGACCCACTCATGTGGGTTTGTCCTGAAACTTAGGCAGTGGAGCATCCCGAAAGAAAGATTGTGTGGCAGCTGTTAATATCATTCGTTCATTGTAGACAAAGCTTCGGAAGAAGTCCTGTGTTCACCTGGATTTTGTAGCCTGATTCAATAAGCTACACTCTATATCCTCCAAACTAAGTAGTTTTTACCTTTGCTGTTTAACACCACACAGGAAATAAATCCTTTGGGATTTCTGTTTTCTTAGTCTAAGTGCATAAGCACCAATTTCATAAAATAAATTTCTGTACACCCCATGTTTAACACCCCATGTTTAACACACCACACAGACCATAGCATCTCATTCACAGAGGATAACCTTTTTTCATTGCTGATGGAAAAATGGAAAAAGTGGCATATTCCACTTTGTTGGTTTTATTTCACAATATGTTCTTCAACTTGACTAGCAGTAAAGGTACTCAAGTGATGCATGTTGGAGGAAGGCAGAAAAGGACAGAAGGCAGGCAGAGACCACTCGTCAGAGCCGGGATGGTGCATTGTGGTCACGGGCTCTGGGAATCTTTGATGGTATCAGGATGTTTCTCTCTCCTGTATTATCAATTTACAGTTTTAAGGTAAGTTTGAAAGAGTTAGATGCAGAAGAAACAAAAGCCAGTATTTCCAGAGGTTTTACAGCATGTCTAAGAACCTCAGGCCACATCATTTATGGAAAGTATTTACTGCCCTTAAATAGAGCCAGGGAAAATGGTAGGTTCATAGGTTTTATTTAATGCCTACTCATTAAAATCAATTTTCCTTCTTGTGAATGGAGCTGATGTTAGTGTTTTAACCCTAATTTAGATAATGTACATGGAAGGGAAAGGAAACCTTGATTTTGTTATTTTCTTTAGTTTTATATGTATTTCTTAAATATGTGGCAGATATAATTTCATTCTCTTTCATGGTAAAGCTTGAAGAGAAGCAGTCTACAGTGTTTAATGGAATGTCTTATGACCTAATTATTTATGGAAAACAATAACTTGTCTTTAGCCATTTGTAATACTGTACGTCAATTCTTCTTAAGTTAGAGATAAAACTAGATTTTAGTGAACTTCACATTTGGTCATTTTGCTGGAGTTTATAATTGGGGGTAATGGGATGGGTAATATGTTGTATAATTTCAGAATCAGAACTCTTTTTAGATAAGGAATATTAGAATTCTAAAGATTTCTTTATTTCAGGGGCGCCTGGGTGGCTTAGTCGGTTAAGCATCCGACTTTCGCTTAGGTCATGATCTCGCGGTTCGTGGGTTCGAGCCCCGCGTCGGGCTCTGTGCTGACTGCCAGCTCAGAGCCTGGAGCCTGTTTCAGTCTGTGACTCCCTCTCTCTCTGACCCTCCCCTGCTCACACTGTCTCTCTCTCTCCTAGAAATAAATAAAACATAAAAAAAAAAAAAAATTAAAAAAAAAAAAAGATTTCTTTATTTCAATCTTACAGGATTCCTTATTTTTTAAATTTTTTTAATGTATTTATTTTTGAGACAGAAAGAGACAGAGCATGAGCAAGTGAGGGACAGAGAGAGGGAGACAGAGAATCCAAAGCAGTCTCCAGGCTCTAGCTGTCTGCACAGAGCCTGACACAGGGCTCAAACCCACGAACCGTGAGATCATAACCTGAGCAGATGTCGGACGCATAACCAGCTGAGCCACATAGGAGCCCCTCCATCTTATAGGTTTCTTTCCTCATTTGCTGTTAAAAGCTGGTTGAAGTTTGATTCTTTATAGGAAAATGTAAACCTTGGTGAAATTAAAATAATCACATGTGTGATTATGGGCTTCTGAAAAAGATGAACTATTAAGTTACAATAAATATGTTATAGGAAGTGATCTCTGCATCCCAACAATGAATGAGAAAGTCTGAGCTTGATGCCAAGGATTGGATTCCACGGTCACTCTGGAAAACCTAATTTTGAGACTTTTTAAAGACATTTAACATCTAGTCTCTTGGGGAAGAAAAGTTAAGTCTGCCGTTCAGGCTCTAGACGGCATTGTAAAGATAAACAACTTCACATAACCTCCTGTTTGAGCAGCTCACCAAGAAGGCACATATGCCTTTCTCCCCTCTGACTACAAATAGTGCCTTAGGTCTTCTGCTCCCAGCTGCTCTATACATCTCCCCCCACCCCTCCAAGGAATCCAGGACCTGATGACCACATTGCAGAGTGGGAAGAAAGACTGTGGAACGGGCCCCTAGGTTAGCCACTCTGCTTTCTCTCTTCTCTGAAAATTTCTGGCTGCCTTGCCTCATGCTCTTACGTGTGTGTGTTTTATATTGTGTGACTGTGGTCATCTGTTCAATCAGATTGTGAGCTCTTAGAGGACAAGAACTGTTTCGTACATTTTTCTTGTAGATCCTGGCACATGATAATTGCTCCAGAAATGCATGCTTTCCTTGTCTGGGGATTAGAACTGGCATGGTCAGGAACTAGGGAACCAGTCAGTAGCTTGTTATAAACCTGCTCTGTCTACTTCATCCGGTTGTTGCAAACAAAAAAAATAAAAATTGGAAATATTGGAAACATACATGCTCACAGGTGGCATCGTCTTCATCTTGCAGCCGTGTGAACTTGGGTAGATAGAGGAGCATATTGTCGGTGCCTTCCCTCTGCTTGGGATACTCGGCCTCCTGCATCTTTAGTTTTGTGACATCTAAGTAGATTATTATCGTAGGCTCTTGAAATGTGACTTCCGTTTTCTCCGGGCTTGTTGGTAATACAGCACACGCTGCTAAGCAGTCCATGGGAAGGGCATGTGCTCTTGTGATACACTTCAGGGGCACAGCAAGGAGTGTTGGAATGACTTTGACTGTGACCTTTGGTGCTTGTGTCCTGCTGTTACAAGAGCTTCCCAAATGCTGTCGGCCTTTGGATGTTCTAACATGTTATTAAGCAAAGGACTGAAGCAGGAAGAGGACTGGAACGATTCCACCCAGAGATAAGGCGGTGGCAGAGGAAGGGTACTGCGTCACAGACATGAAATGTGATTTTGTTCCTGGCCTTGCAACTTACCAGCTCGAAAGGCATCAGCAAATTTCTTCATATCTCCAGGCCTCTATGTCCTTATCTGTACAGTGGGGGTGTACGAAGCTTGCTCAACTTCCATCTGACATTCTCTGATTCTGGTGACAGGCCAGGAGGGAGAGAAAGCATTTTCCATTGTGAGTTGAACAGTCGTACTGTTACCCATATCCTACCACTACAGGAAGCTCCCTCTAGAAGTAGAAATGCATAGACTTTAAAGAGGGACAGACCGGAGTTCACGTGCTCCATCAGCCTATGGTCTGATCCACCTGTTGGTCTCCATCCACCTATTTCTCCTCTTCTGGAAAGTGAAGTGAACCACCACCCAGCCTCATGAGAGCCTGCCTGCACGTGGTGGGTGCTGAGTACATGCTCTCTCTTTGAAGAAAAGCAGGGATAAAAAGGGCACCATTTCCTCAAGTTTCA